GCCAACAGGTGGCAGGATGGCTCAGCTAAAAAAAAAAATCACAAAAAAATGGGCAGAGGATATGAAGAGACATTTCTCTAAAGAGGACATACAGATGGCCAACAGGCATATGAAAAAATGTTCAACCTCACTAATCATTAGGGAAATGCAGGTAAAAGCCACAATGAGATACCACCTCATTCTGGTCAGAATGGCTATCGTCAATAAATCAACAAACAACAAGTGCTGGAGAGGTTGTGGAGAAAAGGGAACCCTGGTGCACTGTTGGTGGGACTGCAGACTGGTGCAGCCATTATGGAAATCAGTATGGAGGCATCTCAAAAAACTGGAAATGGAACCGCCTTATGACCCAGCAATTCCACTCTTAGGTATTTATCCAGAAAACCCCAAGACACTAATTCAAAAAAATACATTCACCCCTATGTTCATTGCAGTGCTATTTACAATAGCTAAGACTTGGAAACAACCGAAATGCCCATTGGTAGACAACTGGATTAAGAAACTATGGTACATTTACACAGTGGAGTATTACTCAGCTATAAAGAAGAAGGAAATCTTACCATTTGCAATGATATGGATGGAACTAGAGAACATTATGCTAAGTGAAATAAGTCAGAGAAAGACAAATACCATATGATCTCACTTATATGTGGAATCTAAAGAACTGAATAAATGAGCAAAGTAAACAGAAATAGTCTCAGAGACACAGCGGAAAAACTGAGGGTTGCTAGTTGGGAGGAGGGTGGGGATGAAGGAGAAGGGGAAGGGATGAGACAATACAAATTGGTAACTACAATATTGCCACAGGGATAGAAAAGACAGTTTGGGGAATATAATCAATAATGTTGAAAATATATTTTTCAGGGGGTCAGATGGACTCATGTCTTGTTAGGGAGACAACTTCATGGACGGTGTAGAGGCCTGACCACCGCACTGTACACCTGAAGCTGCGGTCAAATAATATTATATGTCAACTATAATTTAGTACATATATAGTCACGGGATGTGGAGTAGAGTGTGGGAATGGAGTCAGTGGAACTGAAATAGATATTTATGATATCGGGGGTAGAGGAGCAGTCGATAGGGGGAGGGGGGCTTGCCACTATGGGAGGGGTGAAAGGATAACTATTGTTTTGTACACCTGAAACTAATAATAATAAATCATTGCATCATAAAAGTGTTAGAACTAGAAAGAACATTAGCAATCACTTACTTTAGATGATAAGTTGAGCTGCAGAGAAATTGACTTAACACACTACAAGTAAATAAAGAATCCCCATGAGAACTCGGCCTCTTGTCTCCTATCCAGCTTGCTCACTCGCTCTCTTTCAAGATTTTATTGGGGAATCGGGGGAGGGGAACAGACAAGTTGCTATCCTTTTGTTCTTTAGTCTAGTTGTGGAGGACGTTGCTTCACTGGCCCATGTTGGTATTATCATTGCGCTCTTCCCGGGTGAGGCAGTTGCTTGCCGGCCATTGGACAGCCGCTCACGGTGACTCATGGCAGCCCAGCTCCAGGTGGAGCTGTTGTTCACCATCTTAGCTGTAGAGGGCGCAGCATCACTGGCCCTCATGTGGGATCCGAACCGGGGCCCTGCTGCTCAGAGTTGGTGTCCCAAGCCAACTCTTAACCATTGGCCGGCCCCCAGCTCTCTTTCTGTCGTGTCACGCTACAGAGTATTTCTTGGAAAGACTTAGAATGCAATAGAAAGTTACATAGTCTTTGCTATATATCCTTTCAAATTGAAGCTCAATTTATGTAGGCAGCATGTCTAAAACTACACAATTACCAAGATCTACCTCTGGGAGCAGTAGTTATTATGACGATGTTGTTATAGACTGAGTGTATGTGTCGCCCCAAAATTCTGGTGTTGAAACCTACCCCCCAATGTGATGGTTTAAGGAGGCAGAGCCATTGGGCAGTGATTAGGTCCTAAGGGTGGAGCCCTCATGAAGGATGTGTCCTTAGAAAAGAGGCCCCAGAGCCTCAGTCACCCCTTCAGCTATGTGAGGACATGGCAAGAAGACGGCCGTCTGCAACTCGAAGGAGAGTTCTCACCGGAACATGGCCATGCTGGCACCCTGCTCCTGGCCTTCCAGCCTCCAGAACTGTGAGGAATACATTTCTGTTGTTTATAAGCCGCCCAGACTGTGGTACTTTGTTACAGCAGCCCAAATGGACTGAGATGGGTATCAAGAAAATTAAGAAATAAATAGAATTTAACTCTACATGTGAGTGAGTTCCAAAGGCAAATAGCATTGACTGAATGTCGGTGTGTGTTCAGCCTCCTGCACCATGAGTCATAATAGTCCATCTGTTTTAAATAGAGATGTCTGTGGAGGCTGCAGCCTATGGGAAGTGAGTGTCCATGGATGTTATTGTGGTTATTGTGCTTTAAATATATGTCCACAGAAATGAACCTGTCATATTGTTGCTATTTTACTTTAATTGGGAGACTTAAATAATATTTCACAAAATATTGTACATATACCACAGATAGTATAGGAAATGATTTTAGGTGACACCCCAACATATTTGTGGTGTCAACAAAAATAGCTAAATAAAATATTTCATTTAAATAAAATATATTTCATTTAAATATCTGTGTATTTATTTCATATATATTAAAATACCGTGTTTCCCCATGTATAAGATGCACCCTTTTCAGAAAAATTTGGGGTCTAAAAACTGGGTGTGTCTTATACAGTGGTTGTATGAGCACAAAAACAAGTGAGAATAAAGCAGGCAATGCAAGTAAAAAAAATCTACAACTGCTGTATAAGACACAACCAATTTTTAGACCCCAAATTTTTCGAAAAAGGGTGCGTCTTATACATGGGGAGATATGGTATATTGCAAAACACATATTTGATAAATAATTGGGAACCAAAATATACAAAGTTAAAACTCAACAAAATAGACAAAGATCTGAGCATAAGGCGCACTGCATCCTGTGCCATCAGGGAAATGCAAACTAAATCAGCAATGAGAGACCATTCCACACCTGCTAGAATGGCTCAGATCTGAACACTGACAACGCCCAGTGCTGAGGAGGGCATGGAGCCACACTCACTCACAGCTGGTGGGGATGCAGACGGGGCAGCCACCCTGGAAGACAGTTTGTAAGTTTCTTACACAACTAACACACTCTCACCATGTGATCCAGCATTCACGCTCCTTGGTGTTTACTGAGAGGAACTGAAAACTTAGGTCCACACAAAATCCTGGACACGATGTTTATAGCAGTAACTGCCAACAACTGCAAACAACCAAGGTGTCCTTCCGTGGGTGATGGATAAATAAACTCCAGTGCATCTAGACGATAGAGTATTAGTACTAAGAAGAAATGAGCTATTATGCCACAGAAAAGACAGGAAGGAATCTTAAATGTATACTGCGAAGTGAAAGAAGCCAGTCTGAGAAGGCTACACTGTATGATGCCAACCACATGACATTCTGGAAAAGGCAAAACTATGGAGACAGTAAAAATATCAGTGGTTGCCAGGGATTCAACAATGGGTGGTTGGGGGGAAGGTGGTAACGCACAGAGGAATTTGAAGTCAGTGAAACTATTCTCTATGATATCATAATGGTCATAATGGTGGATACATGACATGGATTTGTCAAATCCCATAGAATGAACAACACTAAGAGTGAACTCTTAACATAAGGTGTGGAATTTAGTTAACAATGTATCAGTGTTGGTCCGTTAAATGTACCAAATGCACTACAACTAATGCAGGATATTATTAATAGGAAAAAGTGTGTATGGTGGGGGCGAGGTGGTATGTGGGAACTCTGTACCAAGTGCTCAGTTTTTCTGTTAATCTAAAAAGTATCCATCGATTAAAAAAGATATCACAGTTGTTGCTCAATAAGTAAATGTTACCTATTGTAAGCAGCCAGTATGTGCCGATCGCTGTTTCAGCACTGGGGGTCAGGCATGTATAATAAACGGCATCTGTCTGTGTGGCTCCTGAGAAAGTGCTGGAGGCATGACTTGCCACCAGGTGGCGCTCCAATATCTCCCTTCCCCGCTCTCCCTGGGCCCCTTTCCCCTCACACTGCAGTCTAGATCTGGTAATAGGAAGTCAGACAATTAAGTTCACGAACTCATCCTAGAGTAAGTGCTACACACCTCATTGCTGAATATCACTACGGTCACTTTCAAAGTGCTCCCTTGGGAAGCTATGCACCAACGCCAGCCAGCGCCTAGTCCACCCTTCTAAGCAATTTTGGAACTCTTTTTCTGGAATGGCCATCAGAGCTGTCATTGGATTACATTTGGTGTCCTGAATGTCATCAAAATTTCTTCCTTCCAATATTTCCTTTATCTTTGGGTAAAGAAAGAAGTCATTGGGGGCTAGGTCAGGTGAGTAGGGAGGGTGTTCCAACACAGTTATTTGTTTACTGGCTAAAAACTTCCTCACAGACAGTGCTGTGTGAGCTGGTACATTGTCGTGATGCAAGAGCCATGAATTGTTGGCGAAAAGTTCAGGTCATCTAACTTTTTCACGCAGCCTTTTCAGCACTTCCAAATAGTAAACTTGGCTGACTGTTTGTCTAGTTGGTACAAATTCTTAATGAATAATCCTTCTGATACCAAAAAAGGTTAGCAACATTGTTGCAACAAGTTTGCGAACTTAATTGCCAGACCTCATATGAAGACGAGCTAACCTCCTTCAGATGAGTGTCCCCTCACCTTGAGTCGGGCCACAGCAGCTCAGGTGCACTCACTCTGAGATTAACCTAGAGCGGCGCTTCTAGGCCTTCTGGGGTCTTGGCACCAGTAAAGAAAGGTGGTGAAGGCACAGCTCACTGGTTCACGGTGGGGCTGCTCTGGATGGAAGCGGGGTGGGGGATAAGGTGGATAGGAGCCTGCCGTTTCTTTAAATGCAGTGCTGCTGTGCACCCCACCTCCTAAACGGGGCAGCTAGGGGCAGCTGGGGGCAGCGAACTGCACAATGGGGCTGGAGTACGTTTGCTAGTACATCATTAGTGCATTTTCATGTTTATTACAACCAAGTTAACTCTCACATCTGTCACCAACAGGCATATGGGGACGCCCAGCCCCAGAAGTGTGTGCTCCAGGGTTCTGCTTTAACTATTATCCAACAGACTCTTCCTGAAAAAACAAAAGAAAAGAAAATCAGTGTTTGCTGGTTTATGTTGAAGCACAGTCACAGAATATGAACACTGCACGGGGACCTCAGAGAGCTGCCAGTCCAAGTTTCTTGTGTTAGAAATAACATTCTTAGGGTCATACAGCCTGACACCTCCATTTTCTGTGAAATGAAAAGCTTACTGTCTGAGACTCTGAGCAATCTCTGGGACAAAAGGTTTTTGTCCTTTTTGTTGGAGGTTTTAAGCTTCACAGGCAACTGTCACCTCCCAAAACACTGACTGTGGAATGTGCTGGTAAGCTGAGTGAGTGTGTGTCTGGAAGGGGTAGTTTGTGGCCCACCTGGGCAGGTGCAGGGCAGTTACTTGAGGTTAACTGGGTGGCAGGAAGGCCCAGTTTCCACAAAACCTCTTCTCTTTCGGGAGGAATTGAACAGATGAGCGTCTCCTCCCTTCCTGATCTGAGTTTTATCTACTCAGGAGCAAAGTGATCACCCTGTCACCCCCACCACAGGATGCCAACAGCTCCTGCAGTTTTCTGGGAGAAGGAACTGGAGGCCGCTGGGTCTGGGAGCTGCCGCGGGGTAACACTGCCGTGGACTTGCGGGCCCACGGTGTTTTGGTTTGTTCAAGTGGACGTGCAGACACACACTGTACTTTGGAAATGAAGCTTTGTGTCACTCAGGTTCATGCTTCATGTTGCCCTGCGACATTTTCTGGAAACGGAAATTCAAAAGATTTATTGAGTGCAATTAAACAACATAAATAGAATTTCATTTCACTAAACGGGGTGATTGCTGCAGAGTTTGGACAAGAGTCTGTGCAGCTGTGTCAGAAGGGGTATCTTCGGTTGTCCCTTCCAAGGAGGTTATCTTTTCCCAGGTTCGGCTGTGGCCACAGGACACACATGCTGGGCAGTTCCTTCCATGACCTAACACGGCTCCCCACCGGTGTGAAGCCCTAACAACAACATGAAAAAGCATTGCTGACTCGCTGCTCCGTGGTGGCTGTCTGGCGTGAGGACGGAGCTTGTTCTGTGTACTGCACTCAAGAGTAGGCAATGGAGCCGTCGCACACATGGCTAGGCGCTTCTGCCTCAGTCCTTGGAACAGTCCAGTCGGAGGCGCCAAGGGCTGGAAGGTGCTGGTGTGGGCTCCGGGTGTAAACACAGAACCATGGCCGCGGAGCCACGGTGGGGAGAGATCTCATGGAAGGAGCCCTGGCTGAAGGTCTAAAAGTCCCTGGACAGCAGCCCTCTTTTATTCCCATGAACCTGAGCAAAAAAGTTACTTTCCCACTGGAATGTACTCAGTGCCGCTGAAATCCACACTGAAAATGGTCCTTTTTATGTTCTGTGGGTTTTAGCAGAATAAAAGAAACAAGCACCAGAGTTGTTCTCTATTGAACGGGCTGTGGCGCCTCCTCTGACGAAGCTTAGCCTCCTTGCTGGTTCATCACAGCAGGTGACATGTCCGATGCCAGCTGGAAGGAGGAGATGCCGGGCGCCCTGACCCACCTGGGCAGTGACAGGGATGCTGTGAGAGGACACACACGGAAACCCAGGCTTTGCCCCCCGTCTGTGTTTCTCACAGTGCGCCGAGCCCGGGATCCCTGGGGAATATGCCTGTCCTGAGATTTGACACAAATGTTCTTAGCAGTTTCATCTATCCTTAGGCCTGGACAAGGGTGAGGTCAGAGGAATATCTGCACCAAGCTGAGAGTGAGTGTCTCTTAAGTTTTGTGCACAAGGTGCCTTGTTTCTCTCACCCTAGTTGGGGTTCCGTTTATCATAGTCAAAACCTGCAAACAACCCAAATGCCCATCCGCAGTGTGGACAGAACTGTGGTACATCCATACCATGAAAGACTGCTCAGGGCTTGCTTCACATATACTAAACACATAAGCCAAAATCGGAGCGAACAGAGGTTAGTGTGGCCCCTAGACGAGGATGATACAAATTTGTGAAGCATCCACATTTGTGTCAAGTAAATGAGTCCTGAGTGTAATGTGCTCCATGGTGTCTATAGTGAACAATATTGTATACTTGAAAGTTGCTAGGAATGTAGATTTTTAAAGTTCTCGCCACAACAAAAACCATTGTAACGATATGAAGTGATGGATGTTAACTAGACTTGTTGTGGTGATCATTTCACAGTATATACAAATATTGAATCATTACGTTGTATACCTGAACTTAATATATAATTGATATCAATTATATCTTGAAAATTGATATCTTATATCTTGAAAAAAGAAATACTATTCAGCAATAAAAAGGAATGAACTATTGAGTCATGCAATGTGGATAAACCTCAAATTATTCTGAAAGAAGTTAGACAAAATAAGTACATATTATATGATTCCATTTACATAAAATCCTAGAAAATGCAATGTAATCCATAGTGACAGAAAGATCAGTGGTTGCCTGGGAATTGGGGAACAGAGAGTAGAGGGGGAAAGGAGTATAAAGGGGAACAAGAAAGTGTTTGGGGAGATAGGCTATGTTCACCTTGATTGTACTGATGGTTTCACATCCATGTACACATGTCAAAAATGGTCAGACTTCCCCTTTTAAAATAACTGTGCCGTTTATTGTATGTCAATTGTGTCTCAATAAAGTTCAAAATAAAATGAGGTACGATAAAAATTTAAGACATGAATTCTTATTAGATCTTTACTGAGAAAATAAGAAATTTTAGGGACAATTGGGAGTATTTGAATATGGACTAAGTATTAAGTATATTAGGAGATTATTGGTACTTTTCTCAGGTATAATAATTATACTGTGGATATGAAGAAAATGCTAATATTCTTAAAAGATTTACGCTGAAGTATTTAGGGGTAAAATATTATGATGTCTTCAGCTTATTTCAAATAGTTTGGAAAAAACAGAAAAAGGAATAAAGAAAATATGGCTAAATATTGAGACAGATGAATCTAGCTGTTCAGTTTAGAGGAGTTCATTATACTATTCTTTGAACTTTTTTGTATGTTTGATAATTTTGTCATTAAAAAGTTAGAAAATTTTACCAAGATTTTAAAGAGAACCAAATTACAAAAGATAACAAAAAAAATAACCGAATTATCAGTCAATGGATAGGTTTAACTGAAGACACAGCAGAAGGTAAAATTGGTGAATTGCAAAATAAATCTAAAAAAGTTATCCAGAATGCAGTACAGAGAGAAAAAGAGACAAAAATATAAAAGAAAAGTTAAGAAATATGGAGAATAAAATGAGAAGGCCTATCATAAATCTGGCTGGAAGTCCAGGAGAAAGAGAAAGAATGGGGTTTAGGCCACATTTGTAGAAGTAATTGCTAATGTATCCCTGAAAGTATAAATGAAAAGAACCCACACAGGCACACCATGATAAGTCTGCAAGACACCAATGGCTGAGAGAAGGTCCCAGAAGCTTCCGGTGAAAAAGATGATGACCTCCAAAATAACAAACACTTAAACTGATTCTTCATCACCTACAACAGAAGCCAAGCTAAAAATAGAATTATTTTCAGTGGACTGAAATTGTCAACCTAGAATTATTTAGAAGAAAATATCTTTAAGAATGAGGGCAAAATAAAGACATTTTCAGGTAAACAAAACACGAGAATGTTTGCCATTTGTCATGCTCTCTAAATGAAATTGTAAAGTATGTATATGAGACAGGAAGTAAGCTAGTAGGGCAGAGAGATACGGAACGTAGAGAGAAAAAATGAAACATAAGTAGGTATAGCTATACAAATTAGACTAAATAAAATATCTTCTTCAGTTTAAATGTAGAATTAAAACACAGAACAATAGTAAATTAGGAGAAGGGTAAAAATGTTGATAAACATTCTATTTTCATAAATATTATCTTGAAGTTTCTATAGTACCCTTAACAGAATATATAATTTTAAAACTAGTAAAGGCAAAAAGTAGAATGAGAAAAAAACAATCCAAAGGAAGGCAAGAAAGTGGAGAAAAGTAAACTTAGGTGACTTGGGACAAATTGAAAGCAAAATATTAGAATAGATACAAATATTTTTCATGCTGTATTAAAAAAAGTCAACACCAGAAGACAAGTACAAGACTATGCATAGTATGTTCATTAAAACAGAAAACCCCTCACAATGTATTGAATGAATAAACTACAGAATAGTCTTACACTGAAATACTATACAACAGTGAAAAATACATGAACTCCAGCTATATGCTTGTGTCGACGACTCTCACAAGCACAGCACTGAGTGAAGATGCAAGACACAGAAAAATTTGGAAGAACTTTAAGAAAAAGTTCAAAGTTCAAAAGTTGGACAAATTGACCAATATTTTATTTAAAGAGATCTAAACAGACTGAACAACCATACAGGCAAGGGGATGATTGCGTAGTGTCAGGAGAGCAGGATGTCCTCAGGGAGGAGCACATATGGGCTTCCAGGGTGTTGGCCCTGTTCTGTTCTCTGACTGTGCCCTGTGTGGTTGTTCTGGGGAGCATATGTTTTATTTTACCCCCACCCCTTTTTATGTCTGATGTAGTTATTGATTTAAAAACAGAAAGGAAGACAAGAGCAGCCCTCCATGGAACTCACTGAGACATCCAGGAGGGTAAGTCTGGAAAACCAACCTACATACAACCTACCAAGACTGAATCATAAAGAAAAAGACAATTTGAACAGAGTAATAATGAGTAAGGAGATTAAAACAATAATTGAAAACCTCCCACCAAAGAAAAGCCCAGAACCAGATGATTTCATCAGTGAATTCTACCAAACACTTAAAAGAATTACCAACCCTTCTCAAACTCTTCCAAGAAAATTGAAGAGAGGGAACACTCCAAACTCATTTTATGAAGCCAAGTTACCCTGATATCAAAGCCAGATAAGGACACTAAAAGAAAACTATAGACCAATATCCCTGATGAATATATATTACAAATTTTTCAAAAAAAAAAATACTAGCAAACCACCTTGATCAAATGGAATTTACCCCTGGAAAGCAATGTGAATCAATAAATGTGATTTGCTACATTAATAGAATGATAGAAATCAGATATTCATCTCAATAGATTCAGAAAAAGCATTTGACAAAATTCAACATCCTTTCAAGATAAAAACTCTCAATTGGATACAGAAAAAATGTACCTCAACATCATAAAGGCCACATAGGGCAAACTCATAGCTAACATTATAATCAATGGTGAACTATTCAAAGCTTTCCTGCTCAGATCAGGGACAAGGCAAGGGTGCCCACTCTCACCACTCCTAGTCAACCGAACTGGAAGTCCTAGCCAGAGCACTTAGGTAAGGGAAAAAAGGTATCCATATCATAAGGGAAGTGAAGTGCTCTGTTTGCAGATAGCTTGTATGTACGAGTAAAGAAAGTACATAGCGATGTAGTGAAAGGCATACAGCTGTCCCTTATGGGTGAGAATCTTGTAACTGATGATCTGCTTCTTTACTGAAGAAACCTGGACTTCAATTTTCCATTCACCTTTTATAATTCCATAGGCCTTCATTGTTAGTTTAGGCACTTACTGCCTTTGATTTTCTACTTTTTTACTTCATCGTGATTCCCTCTATTTATTTTATTACTCTGATATAAATTGCTTCAAAATTCTTTTCAGAACAAAATAGTGTGTACCTTCATACACACATCATGATCCAACTGGACTTGTAAGTGGCCAAAGATTCTTATGGTCTATCTGCCTGCAGTCTATTTTCTTAGTCTTCTATCCTACTCCAGCCCTAAAACACATATTTCATATTTTGTCTAAACTTACTGTGTAGATTTGTGCTCTGATGCAGCTGGGTGCCTAGGCTTAACAGGTAAGTTTGGATTTGCATACAGCCTAAGTAGTCTGAACCAAAGTGCTTAACTCTTTGAACGTCGGTATCATCATCTGTAAAATGGTACCTTACAGAACTGTTGTAAAGATTGGAAGGATTTTATGTAAAGCACTAAAAAGTAAGAAGCAGTTAAAAACAGCAGATGTGAATAATTATTAAATTCCATTGGCCATTGATTCACTGGCTGGCTGATGTTAGAAAAGCTCTCTGAGCTTGCTTCTTTTAAAGTATGATTATCTGCCTAATTTTTTTCAGGAATTCGATGAATATACGTAAACACAAGTGAACATATATAAAGCACCTGACAGATGAAAGGTTTCCTTAAGTTTTTATCTTTTTTTACCCGTGGCTTCCATCTTGAAAGCCCTTTCTTGTTAGAATGCAACCATTTACTAACAGTCAGTTGAAAGTGGGTCTTTCCTGTTTTTCTAACTGTAGTTAATCTTGATCTTCCCAAGGTTGTCTGGATTTTAAAAGCCTCCATTATTCTATTTTGACTAGTTTTGCGTCTTCCCTGCCCCTTAGTTACAAGAATTTTGGAGGCAACTGATTGTTTCCTCTTTGTATCCCCTCATAATACATTGCATTTAGTTGGTAATCATTACTCATTATTGCTTTGAATTAACTTTTCTGATACTAAACTTGTTACGAGTCCTTTCTTTAGGCTTAAGTGATCATTCCTTGTCTGATAACTTAGCCTCTCTCAACCTCACCGCACACGTTGCTATCCTGTTATTGTCAATTTGTGCAAGTTAGTATGGGCAACAAAACAAAAAAATCGACCCATTTGAAATTGTAAACTCTAATGTGTTACATCACCTGATAGGCACCTTAGAGACTTCTGCATGGGTTCGTCAGTCCAGGACTGACGTTTTAATTTAGGTTCGCCAGCCCTTTGCCACTATAAAAAGAGTGCGCGGGATGCTCCCCGAGACCATCCTGGAACGATACAGGAAGCTCATGTGGCCACAGGTTACTCCTGGGAGCAAACGAGCGTAGGTTAACACATATCAAGCACCTGACTTTTGGGTTTTTTCCCAGTGTTACCCGGTCACCCCGACTGATAAAGGGCATGTTTCCTCCTTATTTCCCCGACGGCTGTCCCAGCGCGGTGACGTGCTGTGGCCACACGCCGGGAGGCAAGGACGACGGCCCGCCCGCCCTCCGCCTTCACGTCGGGTCCGCCGGGTGGGGGCGGCCCGCCGCCCGTCAGGCCGGCCGCAGGCGGGCCCGGGCCGCCAGGTGACGCCGGTCGGCGGGCCCTCCGTCCGCACCCGGCC